ACCCCGTATGGCTCCATATAAACAGGGTCTCTAATAGCCCTCTAGGGCCTAGATGCCACCTTTGTACTGCCCAGGCGGGTCATCTCCCTTTCACTAAACCTGACCTGAATATCTCCACTGTGGGCTGATCTCTGGGCACCAGAGTTCACACCTTTCACTCCCTTTTCTCAATAACAGGGCACAAGGTTAGACACGACAAAGCAGCATCTCTGGAGTGACCCAGTGATTTGAGAGTAAGGAAGAGAAGGGAATCCTCTGAGAGTTAATCCATCAAATCAACCCATGAGCAGAGCACAAACACAGAGTCATCTTCAAAACAATTATTCCCAATCCAAACCCAACTGAATCTTAAAAGAGCTATGTGAAATGAGCCAGTCAGCCTATCCCTAACGTGGGAAAAGTGGTCTCCAACTATCTGGCAAAGGAATAAATACATTTTAAAACCTACCAAGCTTCTTTGCCTGGTGATTTGACTTCCTACATGGTTCTATCTGCCTAAGGAGACAGATTTGTTCACCAGCAAAAGTATTTTGGTCCATATATCTCTCAATTGGGTAATTCTTTGTGAATTAATACATTGGCCTTTGAGTTTTATGAACCTGGTGGTGAGGGCTGAATTGTACAATAGACCTTTCTTGATGTGTTCCTGTTGTAAGAGGCCAAGTCCACAGACCTAAAGGAAGGCCCTGGGGCAGGTGAATTCATTCAGAGGAGACACCTATGGGGCTTTGCCGACAGCAAAGGCCAGGCAATCAATCCCGGCAGGGCCCTGACCTTGCTCCATATGCTCTGTTCAAAGTTTTGGCAGTGACACCCACACTACTGAGACCATTTCCCTGTGGTTTTGGCAAAACAAGTGTGGCTACCTTGAGGTTAAAGGGAAGAAAACAAAGGTAAGGATAAAATGAGGTGATGAAGGTAAATTTTGATAGACCTTGAAAAGTAAGAAGCATTGCCAATTGCAAAGCAGAATATTTTTACCAGCATCTTTTTAAGTCCTCTCAGGGGCCTGCTCTGAATTTAGTAAGACCCCTGTAAGTGCTCAGCTGGAGGGCTGTGGACGGGTAACTTGGAGATAACGACCCTCAGTCCTCCCTGCCCTGCCTTTGTATTTCAGATTCTCCATCATGGCTCTTCATGAGGACAGTACCAATGTCTAAACTTTTGCCCACAAAGTACTTGGTTTCCTCACAAGAGACTTCTCCAAAAACGGAGGGGTTCAGGGTGATCGTCACAGATTACTTTGGTCAAGACAGCTGTAGAAATTTCCAGTCTATTTGGTGAGTCTTATTCAGTTTTCTAATCTGGTCTCAAAAACCCTTCCAGTCTTAATTACTTCTTCATATTACCGTAGGAATTTAGAACTGCTGTATATCTTTCCGACCTTTTCATCACATAAAAACATTGGCACTTTTGAGCAAGCCCATGGTAGCTAGTAGCCTTTCAGGGCTAACAGAACCAATTATGGCAGCTTAAAATAGATTTTATTATTCAAGGTGCCAACTCTCTACTATATCCGAAGCTCCATCTGTTATTAACAATGATCCTAAACTACTCATCTGCTCCAAATCTGGTCAATGTGAAAATCAAATGAGGATGGAAAACAAATGACTGTGAAATTGTCTAGAATCAACAACCAAAGAGAAAAAGAAAAAGAAATTTAAAACCTCCTTCAACTGGCATCTGCCAATCTTCTGAGCCACTGACTCAGTTCCTGGTTAATTCACACTGCAGACATCCTTAATAGTCCTCCAAGGAGTAAAACTGATGAAGTGTTTAACTGTTTTCTTTTTTATTATTTGGATAGGCATTATCTAATTTATAATTTAGGAAGGGAAAGTATTTGAAAGGTCTTTGTAAGACAGTGGCAGCTATTCTTTCAACATAGTCAGTGTAGAATTGTATTTACTTGGCAAAGATTTACTGAAAACCTACTGTATGCCCATATACATAAGGTGCCCAAAAAGTATATACATTTTAAGAAAAGAAAAAAAAAAACGGCATTGAAATTATAATACTCAGTAGATATTGGTAACAAAAGATAGATACAAGTCACATGAGAGCACTTCTTATAGAAGTCAAATGGGACTTGAGTATTACAATTTTAATACAGTTTTTTCCTTTCTTAAAATGTGTATCCTTTTTTGGCTCCCTCTGTAAATGCTCTATGTCATGGCCTGGGGATGCAGTGATGAGTATCATCAGTGTCCTTGACCCGTGGGACAGACAGGAATCAAATAACACAAAAACGTAAAGTAACAAGAAGGATAATTACTACAAAGACAGATAGGTGGTGTCATAGGGTGTATAGTAAGAGGAACTGACCTGTTCAAGAGGTCCAAGATGACTTCCCTGAGGAAGTGTTAGTTAAGCTGAGATCAGAAGGGAAGGGATCAGGCTTACTAGACAAAGTCAGGGTGGGAGGTGGGAGTTTGGTAGGGAAGGGGAAGGCAGGATGGTGCAGGCAGGGACAATCTGTATGAAGTCAGAGGAGAGGCTTATGTGTTTTATCATCAAGTCTTCCAGACCTGGCATAACTGGCTGTCACACAAAGATATTCGATGAATAAATAGAATAAATCATCCTATTCTGTCTATAGAGTCTTCACACTTGTGAATTTTTTCCTGCAAAGAGAATCATCCCCTTAATTTTGAACTATTCTATAACCAAGCAGATGGCTGTAACCTTTTCTGTTTTATGAACCCAAATCTGTATGTTAAGAATCATAAATATGATAGTTAAGCAAGTAAAAATTAAATTTTCGCATTATCTAGCTTCATTGCAGGACATCTGGCACCTGTAATTTATCTTCACTTCTGCAGGAAATTGAAATGTGCCTAGTCTTTATTATGCTGGCAATACACACATGTTGCAAATTATAATTTCACATTGCCATTAGTTTTATTTGGGGGTAATATAAATTACTAGGTCCTCTACCTCTTTTTGACATTTAGTAATTCTCTTTCACAATAAAATTCCATATCCCTTTGCTTCATGTCCCTGAGAACCCACCCATATTAACTGAAAAATTTTTTCAGCCAATGCTGATATGTTTCTTGTGGATGACTCATGTCAACACACACAGCTCCTACAACTTTATGTAGAGAAAATGTTTTGTCGCCATTTCCAGGGTGAAACATAAGAGTGAGAAGAGTTTTGGTTTGTGGCCTGAACCAGCAGATCCCCAGTTTGCTATTGCCAGTTAAGTGACATACTAGAAAGTACACCCACTGGACAAAACTGAGTTTGAACCCTCATTCTGCCAGGAAACCAGCTGTGAACCAGTTGCTTAAACCTCTTAGCTTCAGTTTTCTCAGCAGGAAAAAGAGTGATGTTCTTATGAAATTAAATGAAATGTGTATGAAAATATGCTGCCTCTGGGAGGTGCTTAATGAGACATTAGTGCCCTCTCCTAAAGCTACAGGGGTAGAAACTCCTTAACTATGTTGGAAGCTCTCGAAAGGCAGCACCACTGTCTCACCAACGTTTAGCATAATGGCTGGCCCATGGTCACTGCTCAACAAGGGACAGTTGAATATTTAAAGGTGAAAGATTTCAAGTCTTTTTGATGGAGAATGGGGGGAGATAAAAAAAAAAAAGACCCCTTCTTAGACCTCCATGCAGCAGAAATGAGTGGAAGCTTTGATCCTAGAAATCTCATTGTGTCCTGATTGTTCAGCATGAGGACATGTCAGCAGTGACCTCAAGGATGCAGAGCCCAAGGGGCAGAGATTCCCTGTCCCCGCTTCCTGGCGCCGGGAATGAAGCGCCTGGGGGGCCCACTCAGTCATCCTCATTGGGGCTTGCGATCCTTGGAGATGCAAAGTCATGCAAAGTTGCTGGGCAAAGAGTAGCCCCAGCAGCTCGCAAGGACCATCCATCCAGTGCTGGTAACACCAGCCGGGCCGCTCTCACCAGATCATTTCTGTTGTACAACTTGGGCTATATTTTTGGCTTTCTGCCCCCTTCAATGGCTGTTTATTTTCCAAGCTCAGATCCCCTAACCTGTCTGTTGCTTCCATGGGCTACCTACTGGTTTTCCAATAAATTTCTTCTCTGTAGTCAGTCAAGTTGGTTTCTGTCCTTTGTGCTCAGTGATTCAGCTTCCAGCCCCCTCCTCCTGTCCCTTCCCAACATGGTGTACCCAGTAAGCACTCTTTCTAGGGGTACATTTCAAAGTCACTTGCACAAAGTCCTCAGAATCTGTTCTTCAAGATGGCCAGTGTTTTCTATTATTCTTGGACATCCTTAGCAATTCTACAGAGTGTGCTGTACACTCTTCAGTGGAGTGGAATTATGTTCCCTCTAACTACTCTTTGTCTATTTCCCACCCCTGAAGATCCATTACTTTCTCACCTGCACTTTTTACTCTCTACTCATTTCCCTTTGGGGCTTGTGAGATTTAATAAGCTTTTATTGTGCATGAACTACGTGCCAGATATTATGCTATGACAAGGATACAAAGAATAGACTGAGTCAGCATCGGTGTGAAGACAACGGTTGAATGAAAAAGAGGTAAAACAGATTAATGCCCAGACAGACAACATAAGCTCTCACATTTCTCAAAACAAGAAGGAAACTATTAGAGACATCTAGGAGGCCGGGATTTGATTCTGCGTGGCATCTCTTTCTATGGCAGTGAAATGCATTTGTTCTACCAGCGTTCCCTGTGCCAGGCACAGTGCGACGTCAGCATTGTGGTAATCTCTCCTATTTCTCTCTGCAGGATGAATAGCTCTCTTTAGGAGGGTGCAAGCCCATCTCCGTCTCTGTGTGTGTGTGTGTGTGTGTGTGTGTGTGTGCGTGTGTGTGTGTAGCAACACTCACTTTATAACACATGAACAACTGGAAAGACATTCTGGAAGGTCTGGTTAGAGCAGACAACTAGCTGCTCTGCTGAACGTGACACACAGTCTCTGCCGCTTTGAACTACATTTTTTTTAAAACCTATGTTACTGCCTCTCCAGAGGGAGCATGCTGGCACATTTTTCCTTACGTTCTCACTGCCGCCCATAATCCATCACTACAAAGGGAGGCCTTAAAAACAGCACTCCAGGGAGACATGATTTCCTTTCCATTTCTCTCTCAGAAAGAGCAACTTACGATGGGGAGGGGAAAGATTGCATTTTAGGTGGAAGGAATATAAATAAGAATCTGCTCTGTCCCCCCTTTACTATGCTAAGCCTCAAAAGGATTCTTGGTTTTTTAAAAAAAGGCCATCACCCCTTGGCCTGCACTAAACATTAACATTATATACCTGGTGATAAAGCCAGAGGATTTTTACTGAGAGCTATTAAAGGGAAAGGATGGCTGATACAGGTTTCTTCGGTGAACGAAAATCACAGGCTCATAAATATAGCTTGTGAGGTTAGTCTTGTGGTTAGCCAGCACTTAAAATTTGTGATTCCCTCGATTATACAGCTTGACAGGGGAACTATGGACTTTTTTCTCAGATAAGACTGCAGAGTTCAAAATTATGACCTGAAGACAGAAATAACCAGGATTCCTAAGGCAACTGTAAAATACAGCAGTACTGTGTTGAAATATTCCTGGTGTCTGGAAATTTGTACTGAATATGGGGAAAATGCCATTTTCTCCTTTTAAAAATCAATTGTGCCATTTATTTGTGGCTACTTTGTGGCTTTATTTTATTAATCAAACAAAATTTGCATTGGCCACACAGAATGCCCATAAACTTACCCCCCATTTAACTGGTGTCCCGTGATTATTTAATGCTTATTATCAGCTATAGCAAAATAATTTTACTGATAACACTGAATAGAAAGTCTAAATTTAAGAAAAGCTAACTGACCTCTTTGGGTGCACCTAGTCTAATTTTTCTTCAAGCAAAGGGTCTGAGCACCTGCTAATTTATATAGCTAACTAGAGCTCCAGGTAAACAGTCTCCCATGAAATACTGTGCAAATCTCTCTGTGGCTACTGGTGCAGCTGGGGCATGGGGAGGACTGGAGGGTTTGTTCAGTGTCCTTCCATTTTTGAAAACTGTTTACACACTAGTCTTGAAGCTTCCTTTCTTTTCTAGCTTCTCCCAAAGTACAAAAGAGCCTGGGCACTGGCTGTGTACAAGGAGCTTCAGTAAAATCGCTCATAATTCTGTGGTTTCCAGAGTCAAGGACATTACTTCTCTTTGATGAAGAAGAGCCTTTGTCCATGTCACATTCTCCCTCTCTTTTTTCTGGAAATGGGACTTGACAGTTTGAACTCAAAAAGAGGCTTCACAATTGGAAGAAAGAGACTGAACCACAGCATCTGTGCTAACAGCCCCCTCACTGCTCTAATTAGAAGTCCCTTATTCCATTGCTATTTCTCAGGAGAGGACAGGGAGCTTTTTAATTGGGGATATTAGAAGTTCTCTTACACAGTGACTTCTGCTAAGAGAAGGCTCCCCCGAAAGCCATACCCACTCTGCAATTACTTCTTGCAATTCCAAGGAATAATGGTATCTTGTCTCATTTAAAAATAAATCCAGGCTTATCCCTTGCTGCTTTCTCCTCTCTGCCTACTCACATGAATTTCTTCATGCCAATTAAGCAGACTTTCCCTTATTTGAGGAGGTGGTGTTGATCGTGACTGTCCCCTGATAATAAAACGTATTAAACTGGATCTCATTTGCCCACAGTGCCTTCATTCCAGATGCAAGGCTAATTTAAATGAGTTCTGACCTCAGATCTGCAGTTTACTCTGTGGTGAAATAGTGCAGCTTTGGAATTTCCTGAGTGCCATCCTGTCTGCAAGCCACAGAACTCACCTGAAATAACCCGCACTTTCAATGCTCTCAGCTTCTCAGAATCACCTCCTCTCAAGAGAACAGATGTAGTTTTATATTTATGACCTATGCCCAGAAAAGAAATTAAATATTTAGATGACAAACAAGCGTAATTTTAATATATATTCCCCATGTTAGTTCAAAGAATCACCAAGAAGAATGCGCCATTCACAATAGGACCTAGAGTAACAAAGACATTAAGAGCTTTTCCTTATCATTTTCCATGAACAAATGTAATTTCTTTGTAACACCAGTGGCTTCTCCACAGTCATAAATTGCCATCGTGCCTTCTCCTCTAATGGAAAGCATTAACTCTTAAGTACAGAAAATTACATGGTTTATATTACACACATATATATGATATACAGAATATTTAATGTATTGTTAACGTTCAGTAATATATAATGTCCTAAGTGATGTGAAAATTTTCATTACTTTATATGCCTGAATTTGCAAGGCAAGCCTTTGAAAGCCACATAGTCTATCTTTGGGTAGATGTTCCTAAGAATTTAATGTGGCCCCTGGTCTCTTCCCAGACAGCTTCTCTAGCTCACTCTTATCTGTTTTATAACATGTATTCACAGAGAAAAATTGGTCAAGAAACTCAGAACAATGCACTATTTACAAATAATACATATTTATTTTAAAATAATATAATTTTCAGGCTGGGCGAGGTGGCTCGCATCTATAATCCCAGCACTCTGGGAGGCTAAAGCTCGCGGGTCACCTGAGCTCAGGAATTCAAGTTTGGGGCCAGCCTGACCTACAGCAAGACCCCATCTCTAAAATTAGCCGGGTGTTATGGGTACCTGTAATCCCAGCTACTCGGGAGGCTGAGGGGAGAGAATCACTTCAGCCCAAGAGTCTGAGGTTGCAGTGAGCTATGACTCCACAGTACTCTACTGGGGTCAACAAAGTGAAACTCTGTCTCAAAATAATAATAATACTATAATTTTCAAAACTGTCAAGACCCTGTATCTTAGTTCTGACATTTTACTAGGTGTATCACTTTGAACAAAACACTTAATCTCTTTGAGTTTCAGTTTTCATCTATAAAATAAAAATAGTGGCATACACTTTGTTTATGCACTTTGAGATTTAGTAAAAATAGGCTGGGTGAGGTGGCTCACGCCTGTAATCCTAGCACTATGGGAGGCCAAGGTGGGTGGATTGCTTAGGTGTTTGAGACCAGCCTAAGCAAGAGTGAGACCCTGTCTCTACTAAAAAATAGACCAAAAAACCTAGCTGGGTGTTGTGGCAAATGCCTGTATCCCACTCGGGAGGCTGAGATAGGAGGATTGCTTAAGCCTAAGAGTTTGAGATTGCTGTGAGCTCTGATGACACCAAAGCACTCTACCCAGCATGACAAAGTGATACTCTGTCTCCAAAAAATAATAATAATTAGTGAAAATAGTTATTACAAAAGTAACTATTATTTTTGGTTATGTTATTAATCATTGCATTAAGGGCTTTCTTACTAACGTATCAATGACAAGATTGATACAAAACTGCCTTCAAAATTACCTGCAACAGATACATAGTCAAAAAGAGTAATGGCAGCTTTACTCACACCTGGAGGCAGCCCCTTACACTCATTATGTCTACTGAAATAACACAGCCCAGTCCAATAAAGACCATGGAGACTTGGGAAATGACGCAACCACCACCATGCTACTACCCTTTATTGAAAACCAATTATGCATTAGACACTGTTAAAATTCTTAAGTAATCTCTTTATCCCAATCCTTCCCTCAACCCTATGTGGTAGTGGTTGAGTATCCCTGTTTTAGAGAAAAGGAAAGGGATGCTCAGATATGGTAATATGCTCAGTGTCACACAGCAGGTAGAAATGATTTGTCTCTAAAGCCTGTTCTCCTGCGGATACATTTTGTACTGTCTATAAGGGACAAGCTACTCATATACTGTCCATCAGGCCTGATACTCAGCTGGTACAATCACAAGGACACTCCAGTAGAGCCATTATTTACACAGGTACACAGCAGTAGTGCCGTGCCAGTAGTTTATGATCAGTGTCCATCCTGGTAGGTGGGTACCTGTGTCTTACTAGTTGTTAGATATATTTAACATTCCTCCTACTATCTGATTTTCCAATTATTCCCTTTAGTTCTGCCCTACCAATAATCTACCGACATCCTCACACTTACTAAGGACTGACTCCAGCTCACACTCAGCACCTAGAGCCACTATGTTGGAGAGCTGTGACTCTGAAATCCTTCTCACCACTTCCTGCCCTTCTCCCTCTCTCCCCGCACTTCTGCTAAGCCCCTGCTCAACCTCCAGCCACCAACTTCTTCCCCTCACCCGGGCTTCCTTCCCTTCCTACTCACTTGCCTGAGTAGAAGACAGACATCTGAAGCTCCCCAAATGCCAGCACTGTGTTTGGCTTATGCTTTTATGCCTTGAATTACCTAGATCACTCCTCACACAGTTGATGCACAACAAAGGCTAAATTGGGCAATGAAATTGGGCCATGCGTAGTGGCTCCTGCCTGTAATCCTAGCTCTCTGGAAGGCCAAGGAGGGTGGATCACTTAAGCTCAGGAGTTCAAGAACAACCTGAGCAAGAGTGAGATCCTCTCTCTAATAAAAATAGAAAAAACGAACCAGGTGTGGTGGTGGGCACCTGTAGTCCCAGCTACTTGGGAAGCTGAGACAAGAGGATGGCTTGAGCCCAAGAGTTTGGGGTTGCTCTGAGCTATAACCCCACGGCACTCAACTCGAGGACAGAGAGAAATTGTCTCTAAATAAATAAATACGTACATACATGCATACATACATAGTAAATTGAACTAAAATGGAAATTAAATCCATAGATAAGATGAGGAGACTCTTAACATTAAATGGTTTATCCAATGTGATGGATTTATTTCTAATACTTACTCTGACGCTTCTGCCCTCTCCTGTGGCCTTCAAGTATTTTGTAGAAAATGAGGATGATCAAAAATGTAAAAACTAAGAGAACTAAAACATACCAAGTGATCTTTGTGGAAGGAATGACATCTGCAAAGAAAAAAATACAGTAAAATGATGGAACTGATAAGAGGCATATTCTCTTCTGAACAGAAAAGCTGACCATATAACCATCACTGTTACAGGGTCACTTGCTCTCCTGAATTCTTTTTTCATGTATTAAATGGGGAAATTTGACCAGGTTTATCCCAAGGATCTATTTAGTTCCAAAATTCTTAGATTAATTCCACTTACATGTTATACTGATCGTAGTTTCTTTCTTTTTTTTTTTTTTGGTGGGGGGAGACAGAGTCTCATTTGGTCACCCTTGGTAGAGTGCTGTGGCATCACAGCTCACAGTAACTTCTAACTCCTGGGCTTAAGTGATTATCTTGCCTCAGCCTCTGGAGTGGCTGGGATTATAGGCACCCGCCACAACACCCACCTATTTTTAGAGACGAGGTCTCACTTTAGTTCTAGCTGGTCTCGAACCTGTGAGCTCAGGCAGTTCACCCTCCTTGGCCTCCCAGAGGGCTAGGACTGCAGGCATGAGCCACCACGCCCAGCTGATATACTGATAGTAGTTTCACTGTCATTGCTGACAGTAGGATAAGGCCACAGCATAACAGAGTCCCATAGTCAGAACCTTTTGTAATTAACAATTTTGGCCATACACCAAGCAACCCAAAAATATGTCCTTCAATCAACAAAGATGTAGTGAGCACAAGGAGGAGAGGAGGAAAAAGAAAGGGAGGCAAAGATAAAGACTGGACTGAGGTATGTGAGTGAGTGAGCGAGGGGCAGATGAACAACCAGACCCTCCTTCCGCAGAGTGACAGGCAGTACCCTGGCTTGGGTGACAATAATCACACAGTCCATGCATTAGTTAAACACAGCTGCCCTGGCCTTAATTTATTAAGAATATGAGGATAAACTTGTTAATTCAGATAATAGTGAGGCAACATAGGAGGGAGGGTCACCATCCAACAATAGCTTAGCAGTTTCCCATGGACCCATGAAAACACCCTGGCCAGCAACCCAGGGAGCAGTTATTCAAACAAGGGTGACCTTATCATGTCCAACACAACTGTCTACTGACTTTCTAAGCTCCGTGTGCGCCCTCCTCCTTGCATACAAAACACAACTAGTGCTTCTTCAACTTAGCAGGATATTAACCTGTTTCTACTCTTGGGTGACTGCCTTTGTGGTGCTCATGATCTGGGTATTTCCTTTGCAGAACCCAGATATACGCTAAATAGGCATTCAACATTTATTCAAAGAAGAGGCTCAATGGAGAAAGGGCAAAGGTTGCCTGGAGTAGAAGCACTCAGCCTCCTCAAAATCATTCCCTGCTATTCACCTGTCAAGCTTGCATTCTTTACTCAGCAATATAAAAGCATGCAGTCAACTGGGCTCAGAGGCTCATGCCTCTAATCCTAGTGCTTTGGGAGGTTGAGAATCTCTTGAGGCCAGGAGTTCAAGACCAGCCTGGGCAGCACGGCAAGACCTCATCTCTACAAAAATAAAAGTAAAAAAATTAGCTGAGCATGGTGGTACATGCCTATAGTCCTAGCTGCTCAGGAGGCCGAGGAGGAGAATTGCTTAAGCCCAGGAGTTCAAGGTTGCAGTGAGCTATGATTACAGGGCAAACAGAGCAAGACCCTGTCTTTTAAAAAACTAATTCGGTTAAATGGCAGAGAACATTGGTTGTGCTAACAAGAGCCAAGGTGGGCCCAATAACCAAGATATCACCAAACACTGATAAAACTATGAAAAAAGAACCGTGCATTCACCAAATGTACATTGCAATGGCACAAAACACATGATTGGGACCAAGCAGCCAGTGCCACCATCATAGCATGAATTCAGAAGAGTTGTCTCCCAGTGTCCCAGGTTGCCCACCCACCTCTGTGGCCTTCTGGAAAAAACCCAAAACCACTGTTTCAATTATTATTTCAGAATGAATTGACCAGACTGCACTAAATTTAGTTTCACCTCCTAATGAAGCAGGTTTTTAAATTAGTCTTTACACAGCAGAGTAAACTATGAATAAACCTACACATGGCAAAATGGATATATCTTTCCAGAACCCAGCATGGCTACTATCTTTCTGGGTTGTAGATGCTCAAAAACTGTTAACAATCACTTCACTCTGAATCTAGAATGTATGGTTTTTTTTCATTAACACACACACCAAAAAATAAAAAAAACTCTTCAATTATGCATGTACTTATTTTCTCTTTATGTTTTAGGAAAAGGTGAAAAGCAATTAATGGATAGACAAATATACGCTGAAAAAATGTTTTTCACATCTACAACCCAAACCTCTGTATCTGTCAGCTTTCTCTGGAGTCACTGTCTCTATGCAACCTTTCCAGAATCAGCCTTTCGGGCTCACTTCTGTTCAGATCTTTTCGTGTCCTCTTCCATCCCCCCAAACTACATCCCCCTGGAAACAACCTTCAGCTGCAGAGACTACAGGGCCCTGGCTTAACTAATTCACAGGAGAAATTTCTTTGAAGTCATTTTACTTTAAAAATGCATACACATTAAGTATTTCTGTTTGCTTTAAAATAAATGTATTCTTTTCTTTTCTTTTTTTTTTTTTTT